CCATGCGGGTCATCCCTGCTGGTCCTCAGGGGGCTGGGGCTTACTCTGGAGCGAGGCTGGTGCCCACCAGCCATGGAGGGGGCTGTCTGGCTGGGGGAAGGATGAGCTAGTGGGCAGGGCTGGAAGTAACAGGCGCAAGCCTGGGTTTCTTGCCCAGTGGCGGTGACCCCTTAGGGGACTATGGCTGTCCTGGCGGTAGGCGGTCCCTGCAGAGACACCATGCGGAGTTGCGCTTTGGGGGAGGGGGTGGGGAAGGGAGAAGCAGTGGTTATAACCACCTGGAAAGGCTTGGATGCCCACATCTGCCTCTGTTCAGGCCAGCTTCCCCCTCCCCCGGGGCTGTGGCAAGAGGCTGTGGGGTGCATGTGGCCCTGTGCCACCTTTCAGCACTGTCTGCCTTCCCCATCCGGATGTGCTGGCATGCTGCCCCCGGTCTTGGCCATGCCGGGACATCTGCGCAGCCGGTGGGGCTGTCCCACTCTGTCCGGTTGATTACTCCAAACCCAAGGCCATTTCCCTTAAATGGCAGCTGCAGTGGCACCTGGGTTTGGGTCCTGGTTCCCCTGTGCCCCCTCGGGGTACAGGCCCCTCTCTGTCTCCCCCCACCCTTGAGTAACATCAGCACCTGGAGCCAATGGTGCTCCTAGAGGCACTGGCACAGCCAGGACTGGCACCCTGTGCCCTGGCTGGTGACACCAGGACACCCTGGCCCTACTCAGGTGTGTATCAGGGATGCAGCTGTCACCTGCATGTCCTTGCCACTCCAATGTGAGCATGTGGTCCTGTGCCCAGAGTGTTCCATCATTTGCTGAGCAGAGCTGCCGGTGCCGTGGACAGGGACAGGGTGATGCAAAACTTTGGGTGCTCCCTGCCTCATGGAGCCCTGAGGTGCCTGGGCTGGGGGGCAAGAGGGGGCAGGGGCACTAGGCAGGGGCTGTCCTCTCCCACCTCCTGGCATCCATGCTAGACAAGGCTGGTGTACACGTGGCAGAGGCCACAGAGGGACCCAAGAGCCAGCTCCTTGCTGCGTGCCCTGGTGCTTATCAGCCCCATGTAGAGGAGTGCCAGGAACCCCAAGGGTATGCAGGGCTTGGGCCCCTCCTTCAGTAGACACAGCATCCCCCTCCCTGCCTGGTGGAGGCAGCGGGGTGTGGGGACACTTGTCCCCCTGCCAGCCTCCTGCAGTGACCCCTGTGCAGGGGGTAGCTTGTCCATCCCCGGCAGGGACCTGGGTGGCATGGGAGGAGGCCACAGCCTGTGGCATATCCCTGGCTGGGTGGCAGGGATGGGACAGGGTGACCCAGTCAGAAACTGGAGTGGGGCTCACTCTGCTTTCACTCCCTGCTCTCCCCAGGCCCATGAGCGAGATGACACGGTGGAGCAGGAGCGTGTCCCAGCTGGGATGCAGGAGCTATGCAGCCAGCAGGCAGGAGACCCCCAGAAACCCAGTGCCCAGGGTGAGTCCCCATGAATACTGGTGACAAAGACCCATCCAGGTGCGTACCCGGGGTGGCAGCAGCACCAGGGCCAGCTGCAGGCAGGGGCAGGAGGATGGAGAGGGCAGCACGGCATCTCCCAAAGGTGCGGACAGGGGAGCCGGGTGCCTTGTGGGGCCGCAGGAGCAGGCTTCCCCCATGTGGAGCCTCTTGTCTCTCCTACAGCCGTAGTCTCGGGGACCCTCGTGCTCCTGGAGCCGCAGCCGGCCCCAGAGCCCAGTCCAGAGCCCGAAGATGGTAGCAAGGAGCCGGAGCGGGACCAGCCATGTTCCCTGGGTGCTTCCCAGCCCAAGGGGCAGCACCAGGCAGCCTGGAAGGAAGAGAGCCTGGGCAGCCCTGCCACCACCCAGGAGCCCGGTGGGAGGCAAACCTGCCAGGTGGAACAGCACCCCCTGGGGCAGCCCAGTGCTGGCAGCCGGGGCAGCCAGGTACAGAACTGGCGGGACAGGCTGAGGCTGCCACTGCTCTCTTTGCCAGGGGCTGACGGTCCCATAGGTGAAGGCAGCTTGATGGCATTGGGGTGAGGGGGTGTGCGTGGCCCCCCCAGCTGACTGCTTTGCCCCTTTCCCTCACTGCAGCTTGGTGTCAGGGTGCATGGTCAGGTGTCAGGGCCGGCCGGGAGGCGTGGGGAGCCGCCAGCGGGTAAGTGCAGCCCCATGGGGAGGGAGTGTGGGGCTGTGCCCCCCCATCAGCTGGGCAGTGCTGCCCCACAGGGCCCCCATTGCCCCCCTGCCCTGCAGCATGCACATCCCGGCTGCACAGGGAAGGGCGTCAGCCCTGGGGACCTGACTTAAGCCCAGGAGGCCTGGGGCAGGAAT